TCTGCCACTGTGATGGTTACTGGACCCTGTTCAGGGAGGTTGCTGTGGTCTGCCCTCAGATCCACTAGCCACTGAGCATTGTTATTGTTGCGTCTGTAATGATAAGCAGTGTTGCTGTAAGTTAACATCGTTTCATGCCATACCACAAGGTGGCACTATCTGTAAAGAACATGGGCATGAGCGCTAAGAGGTGAGGGGTGGTTGTTGTTTTTCCGGCTAACCAAGCATGGTTAATAAAGTATGTCGCAGATCACAAAAGGATCTCCTTATTTCTTCATAAATAAGGAGACAAACAAAACAGCGTCCTTCTCCCATATGCTCTTCCAGTACTGCTCAGCCTTGGTGGTGCTGTTCTCATATTGCTCTCTTGCCACTGAGAGTACACCTTGGCTGGTTCTGTGGAGAGCAGCTGGTTCTTTGTCCTGCCTTCGATCTCTCTGGTGTACCTTTTCAAGCGGCTGGCCAAGGCTGTGAGTCGCTGCTTGGCAGTGTCCAAGGCCTCGGGTATGGACACCTTCTTCATCGCACCTTTCTGCAGATTCTTCTTCTCCATGGTGGGTACTGCTCCTTGTAGCTGTTCATCTTGTAGCCCAGCATCTCACTGATGACTGCTGGCAGGTGTAGTTCAGCTGGTGTTGCAGCATTGGTTTCTACTTGATAGCAGGCTTGAGCCTTTGTGGTCCCCGGGTTATTCCTGAATATCCTAACCACTTTCCTCTGATCTGAGGGGGACAGTTTGGATGTTTTTCCCAGACTTCGGGAAGAGGTAACAGATCTGAATAACTTGTACTTGTGTACAATTGTTTAAGCTGATCTTGAATCTGCAGATATTTAGAAACCGTCATTGACTTCTTTGGACTTTCACTTTGATCAATCCAATAAGTGCATTTCAACAAATCCATTTTATGCTGCAGTCAGTCATTAGGAGAGACAGCGCGTCATGTTCAAAGACATTTTTGAACCTTCAGAATTACTTATTAAAATTTAACTTGTTAAAGGTGGGTGTAAATTTTAGTCTGTGTGTATATTTAACACTGTGTGGAATAGAGAACAATTAAAAACACTCATATTAGTTTATGTTTATCGGGTCAGGAGTTTGAATTAATTTGCCAGCTTCTTTTCCAATTTAAACGTTATACAGGGTGGGTCATTTATATGGATACAGCGTAATAACATGGGAATGGTTGGTGATATTAAAGTCCTGTTTGTGGCACATTAGTATATGTGAGGGGGCAAACTCCTCAAGATGGGTGGTGACCAT